ATATAACACCTACCGAAATGAAAAAAAACACAATTGGCGGTAAATCTTAGCTTTTACAACGAAAAAAAACCTAAAAAAAAAGAAAAAACACCTGTTAGTGTTGTTTCTAAAAGCTTCGCGTACACCAACAACCTGAATAACACCTACCGAGACTTCGCCAAAGTGGAAAGTAAGAGGTCTTCTTTAGAAAGGAAATCAAATTAAAGAACCTAAAAAAAAGAAGAAAATTGGTTAATATTGTTTACAAGAGGTTAATACATATACAAAAACTTTGAAGAGGCCGTTTAAATTAGTTCATAGTCTATATAACCGACACTTACCAATATTTTTTCCAAATGAGAAGAAGGAAGAGTAACGAAATTGACATTAAACTTCCGTTGTGAAAAGAATCTAAAGTGAAAGAATCTAAAGTAAAAAAAAAAATCGTTAATAGTGTTTTTAAGGTTATTAAACACGGTGTATTAAACTTCACCTACCGAGTCTTTAAAGAACGAAAAGTCTCTTTTCAAATGATATTAACGTCAAAATCCACAACGCAAAGGACCTGAAAAAAGAAAAAAAAACCTTTAGTGTAGTTTTCAAAACAAGACAAAAAAGAAGAAAAAAGAAACCAACCATCGAATATAAACATGATAAACAATGTTTTTAATGAAAACGTAATTAGAAAAGAAATGTAAAGGTTTGTTTTTATTAAAGGGTAGGGACAAAGAAACCAAAACAGATCGAAGAATTTTTTAAAAAAAAATTTTTTAAGATCGTGTTACAATTGAAATTTGACGCGCCACAAAAAAATTTTTCGCCAATAAAATTAGGAGGCGCATGCCCTTGCGACATATCGCGGGTGCGATAAAAAACAAAACCCTATAATAAATTATAATTGTCAAATAATATGAATAATATATGATATTTAATAAATAAAATTTTTTTTTTATTATAGCTTTGTCAAAAAATTTTGATATTAAATAATAATTCAGCCATCAATTTAATGATCGACAAAATGATCGATAAAAAAAATCTTCAATAAGGACCTACACATCACAGTAGTATCAGAAATTAGTATTGTATTATGTAAGACATGCCTGATTTTCTGAAATAAGCTGACTGTAACCTTAGGTCATGATCTTGTTATTAGGTATCTCTTATACTAAGAAATAAAACAACTTCCTTTCATATCTAGATCACTTAAAAGTATACAAGTAAACTAAGGTCTTGTAGAAAATTTGGTGCTGAATAAACCATAGTACTATTATATATCTAAAAAATTTTACCATTATTTATGTTAATCATGATGATTTACAATTCTATAATCTAACGGTATTACTATATTCCAAGATGAAATATTTTACCCATTATGTTGTGTATGCTAATTATGGTGATTTGCAAGGAGGAAGATTAATAAAATGACGAAAGAAGTACACAATAGAAAATGATGATCTGGTGATCTCCTGTTCCTGCAGAATTTTTTATTGCTATAAAAAAACTGGATTTTTTATTCTTTGTACTGGTGGATCACTATGGCTCCCAATAATCTTAAAATACTTGCATACAACATCTTGACAAGTCTTGGAGATGACCTTGTCAAAGATATCGAATTAGTAGTACAAAGACACGTTATAGAAATTTTTCTTGGTGTGAAAATATATTGCTAAAGAAAATGTATAGAAATAGAAATTAAAATAAATTAGAAGAACTAAAAGGTGTTTGTTTATAAAAAAATTCGTTGTGGAAGAAAGTAACGAAAATAAGCAAACAAAAGGTAAAACTAAGTAGAGAAAGGTTTTCATTATTATAGACATTAAAAGTTATAAGTATTATATTATATTTATTCTTATTTGAAAAATTTCATACTATATATTTTGCAGCTTAAAAAAATACTAAGTTATTATAAATATCATCATATACGGATTTTGCATTTTTCGAATCGTAATATTTTAGGGGAAAGAACATCCATTAAACAATTGAGATAAGAATAGAGGGTTTGTTTCTTGTCTTGGTAATTTCAGCCTATAATATAAGTTTTGTGTTTGTGATCGTCGTATTAATCGTTGTATTGATCGTCGTTTTCGTAATCGTCCAACATAGTTCAACATATATGAATTAGGGTAACCAGACGTATTAATATAGCAATAGTATTTAGCCGGATAAATATTATTGAGCGCGTTTATATCACCATCACTTAACCTTTCACGTTGACCTGAGTTGTGGAAAAATGTTATTATGCGAAGACGGAAGAAGTAAGAACAAAAAGAAAGGAGATACATACAAACCTATTCTAGCATTTACTCCTGGTATTAACATTACTCCTTGTTTTTCAGAGTAATGCATTATAGATTCAAAATCATATGGTCCATAACACAACACATCTGATTCTTTAAATCTCTCATAATTGCGACTAGTTCTTCCAACGTGCACATATTCATTACGGTCTGGGCGACAATGTTCATGGTAAAAACCGAGCGCATGCATCAGTTCATGCATAACACTGCCCACAGTATTTGGCCACCTTATTTCATCCTTAGTAACATGCAAATTCTGTATGATTGCGAAATAAAGTGAGAGAGAGCAATTGGCACTATTGACAGAACATAATTATTAGTAAATCTGAACCTGTTTGCCTCCTATTCTACCCACGTAAGAAGAAAATTTCCCTTTATCACTAATTTTGATGTAATCTCTTTGGTTCATTCTCTTTACGAATTTTATGACAGATACCCTGGTAATCCTTTTCATTGCTTCCATCACAAGTTTTTTAAGTTCGTCACTAACATTATCGTTGAAAACATATGGAACGATTCCGTATTCCCAAAGTTTTTTCCCGTCATTAGTACAAACATCAGAGAACATATCCTCCTCCTCTTCAAGAATCGTACAATATTTATCGTTTCTTAGTATTGAATTCATTTCTAATATTTTTAAATAAGAAAGATATTAATTAAAAAAAAATATAATGACTAATAACGGATAATTAACCTGAAGGAATAGAATATCTACTTTGGTGAGAATGATCCTAGAATATCTTATTATATTCTACAGGAAATCTGATATTTATTGACTTCGATGTCAGACAGTATGCGTTATCTGTCCCTGCCATATATTAAAAGAATGTTAACAAAAGAAACAGGAAAAACGCATTTTAACGGTAAGAGATGAAGTGGCAAAATTTTTGTTCTCTTTTAATAATACATATGGACTTTTTACATACTCTATTACTAATGTTTAGTGTAAATGATCTCGAATTATATTACGCTCACACTTTTTATGATGAAAGAATTTTAGTTAAAAATTAGTGTAGATGTGACTTTAAACCAAAAGAACGCTTTTAAATACTACAGGAAAGCAAGGAATATTCTTCTGACACAGCATAACTATATCGTAAATATACATAGTTCGTATAAAACCAAGACTTAGACTGTACGATCACCTAATATAAAAGTAGTGTAACTATGCAACCTTGTACAGCAGCATAATTAATTATTTATAGATATCCAATCATCAAATCTGAGTGAAGATCTTTTTTTTTCACTAGAAATTAGAACTAACACTCACCCAAGTCGACCCTATCATAAAGTATTGTAAAATATATGTGATCGACAACGTGCATGCAGCACACCTCCAGAAGGGTCAAGTCCGCAAATATATGAATCTTGACCCATCAAAATATGCAAGTTGATGCACCCCCTTTTTTGTGACTCAGACGCGTGATATTTGAGTGTGATATTTATAATATTTTAATATTTTGTAATGTGATATACAAACCTGTACATACTGATCATCGATTAATAGTGATTACTGTGAATAGCAAATTTTTTTATTCCCCAAATCAAAACACCATTAACATGTCCTTTAATGAAATTGAAATGTGTAACAAAAACTCTCTTTCCCATAATGAAAGATATAATTATAACAAAATATCCAAAGAGAAGTAGGTAGATTTTAAAAACTTTGTATGGAATAATTTTCAATCAATATCGACACGCTCCCAGACACACCATAACCCTCAAAAACACGTTAATATGGTCTTCGAAAATATTGTACAAAGTATTCACAAAGCTATTAACGCAATAGGTTTCCCTATAATTAAACAAAATACTCATCAATATACATATTCCTTTTCTATTAGAATTTTAGAAAATGATTATTATTATATTAATTCACTTATTATGAAATTAGAAAATTATTTTAAACCAAAAATATATATATCAAATAATATTTTTCCTTCTACAAAATTTTGGGATGGCCCTAAAAGCCTAAACCGATTAAAAAGAATTGTTTCAAATTTAGACCTACCAAACTTATCGATTAACCCACAAGATGTAATATGGCCAAAATTTATAATCGCTTCTTATTATTCACCTATTTTAGATATTTTGACTAAAATTAAAACTTATATTCATAATTCACTAAATCTACAAATTAGTCAATTTTAAAAAAATAAAATAGAAAAATTTATTAATAGAAGAGATGAAGATTTACGTCTCAATCAGAAAAGGATAGGACCCCGGATATCTCCAAAACAGGTCATAAGTCACACTTTCGGGCAAACATGGTATAGTAGCCTTTATCTTTATTAATTATTTATCAAACTTTACGAAATTACATATAAGAAAAAGAAAATAAAATAAAAAACTAACTAAAAACAAAGCTATATAGTCTTTTAGAAAGAAATTAAAATTAAAAGAAAATTCAAAAGAAAATTCGCTAATACTAACACTTCCTAGATCTCCCCCCTTGATATATTCCAACCAAAGTAGAAGCAACTATGCTAACAAAATAACGAATGACGCGCCCACTATTAAAATCGACACTCCATCCTGCAAAAGCGGTTATTAAGTAGCACCGTTAGACGACCCATAAAACCCAAAATGTGATTAAACCAAAATAATCCATATTGCATCGAGTTTTTTAACCAATCGGTTCTGGAGTCACGTGAATCAACATGGGTCAGAGGTGGTAAAGACGAGTAAGGTAAATAAGAAGATTTGGGCAAACCTTTAGGCCTTGAAGAATGTTTAAGTTTTAAGAAAATGTTCATCGTATGTTCCCATAGTCCTTTATAATACGAACGCAGATTCCAAATTCGTTTACGGAACTTGTTGATAAAATTGTTATATATGGCGGTGACCACATTCATAGCAGTGAGGTGAGAAATACCTAAGTTTTCAAAGACTTCCAGAAAGGCGGTAGGCAAACAACCATGAACTAGACTATAGGAAGACCAGTTGTTAGACGAGAAAGTCCAGCAAGGAAGGGAAGTAACTCTATCAATTGAAGAAGAGTAATCACAATTGGCATTATCACCCACTTCTTTAATTTTTTGGATAAGGTGGCGGAGATATGACGTTAAAATTTGATGTAATTTAACGCGGCACTTTTTGCATAAAAATAAGTGCATAAAATCTTCTAAGTGGTCTTCACAAGAACGACAGGTTAGAATCTCTACGTATAAATCAGGTCGTGTCCTTTTCAGTGATTCCAAAGTAGGTAAGTTTTTCAAAAAGAGTTGAAATTTCAACGTGTGATGTCTAGAGACATTTTCCTTAGTGAAGGAATTATCAAATTTGGGTTGGAACATTAACGTATGCCAGGTAAGAGCCCAATCAACCACATATCGGGATGGATCTGTTAAAAGAGAGATAAAACGGAAACGAGAAAGAGCTAAAAGGTCTTTCATATACAACATCTGATGATATTGTTTAAACAGGTGCCTTGGGTTGGATTCACAGACAACGTCATCATAAGACATAATATAATCATGAACTGCGGCAAGGTCGAGACGGGAAATAAGAATAGCATCGTCAGATGTATGGGCAGTATTGGCAAGAGAATCAGCAAAGTCATTCCAATAAAAATTAGAGTGAACTTTAACCTTATGAGGTAAAACTGAAAGTTGTTTATCCACAATCAGTTGTTGAATGATGGCCCAAAGTTCAAAGTTGGTAGTCTTGTAATAAAAACGAGAATTTGAATAATCAGATAAAAAACAATGCTTTAAACCCTCAATGGAAGACTGTGAATCGGTATAAATGTGAACTACAGAGTTGGCAGGAGAAGCTGATAAAGCTGCATAAATAGCAGCAGCTTCGGCACGAGAAGAAGAAGGCCAGTCGTGAATAATACCCCGGTTATAAGTGGCAATGGAATTAAGAAAGCCAGAATCTTTGACAATTTGAACCCAGCTCCATCCCATAGAAACATCACTAGTTCCTAAATTAATGAGAGAACCATCAGTATAAAAGATATATTGTGAGTCTGAAGAAGGCACGACCGATGATGAAGCAGCAACATCGCCAGCCGTAAGTAAATGTGGAGTAGGCAAAGCCTTGTCGACAATATCAAAGGAAGTATGGGGAATATCAGCAGCAGGCATCAAGCGAACTGAAGGACTACAAAATGAATTTACAAAGTCCATGATTTCCGCCCATGACATCGTAGCAGTCAAGCTGGATGTGTAATTCAAAATGGATGATTTTTTCATAGGTAAGATCTATGACCGATGAAGAGAGGCTGAATAGGAGCAAGAAACAGAACCAATAGCAACTGATTTCTTTGAATAGGAAGACTTATTTATATTTAAATTGCAGCCAGAACAAGGTTGTAGAGTAATCAGATCGTTCGGATGAGATAAGCAGTCTGAAATCCAATGTACAATAGTACATGTGGAGCGTTTGGGTTAGGGTTAGGGTTAGGGTTAGGGTTAGGGTTAGGGTTAGGGTTAGGGTTAGGGTTAGGGTTAGGGTTAGGGTTAGGGTTAGGGTTAGGGTT